ATGAGAATAAAAACCTTTGTTTCCCCAGCATAAATTAATTCTCAAGCGCTTGAATATGAGGCTACGCGTGGTGGAATCTATTGTTCAATCCAACATGGCTGCCGCGTGAATAAGGCCCATTGGTGAGAGGCGAGCGCTTGGTGAGAGGGGAGCGCTCTCACCTCTACACCCGTGCTTCCCCAACAATATATGGTACATGCACATACACCTACCCAGGCGGAGCCGAGATTTTTCAACTTTGAGGTGCGTCGATATAGAGGATGAAACAATCTTTTAGATGCTCGATATTAATTYTCAAACAATTCAATGATTCTTTAAGAAATTCAAAGCATAATTTGCCCAAAGTTTTTGCTAATTAATACCCCATTTCCCAACCTTCTACACGCCTAGTGGTATTTTTCTTTTGTCCTCATAAATTGAAGRAAGAGAAAATGCGCGCGTGTGGTGTGCACAGTTATAAAGCACGCAGGGGTTGGCAGAACACGAGAGAAGTGTTAGGAAAAGCACGACGCGTAGCGGAGTGCTTCTTGACACCTCCCGAATGATCTGGTACACAGCACACAGCACACAGCACACAGCACACAGCACACAGCACACAGCACACAGCACAGCACAGCACAGCACAGCACAGCACAGCACAGCACAGCACAGCACAGCACAGCACAGCACAGCACATCAAGCACAGCACAGTGTTTTTATTTCTTTTGTAAAATACAAATTACATTAATGAAGAAATTGAAAGTGCGCGCGCGTRCTGTGTTCTCTTATAAAGCACGCGCTCCCAACCAATCAGTACGCGAGATTTAGATAAGTTATTTTATATTATTAATGAGTTTGAGAAGAACATTTCAAGTCACGTGCTCCTCATGCCAGGAAAACACGTGATATTTAGAACTTAAACTCTTCTCTTACCATTAGTGATCGGTCTGCAGAGTTTATGGTTGGTTTTTGACAGGATATTCTGAATTATTTCTGTGACGTTTTCTATTTTTCCATTTTCTCCTAAGTGTGCACAAGAATTAGACCTAGGAAACGAAATGGCCAAGAAATAATTAATCGCATATTTAATGATAAATTAATGATATTCGTCCTTAAAGCACGAAACATTGCATATTCTAGCACTTAAGCCCCGATCCATACGTCGCGCTTGCATGTGCCGAACCTAATAGTATCTATTTGGCACATGAAAGGTTCGACGCATGAATCAATTAAGTTCGGCACGACTGGATTAGGTTCGACACGTTACTGAGCTCGACCGCGCCAGTCGAGCCGCACGGCAAAAGTTCGACACTGATTCAAACGTCGAGCTCCTGTTGTGCCGAATGAAATGAATACATTAAAATTAGGTGAGGCCGGACCTAAAAAGCAGCGGTATTTGGTAGTGAGTATGCGCGATACGGTCTTGGGAGATCCAAGATGGCGGATGATATGTGCACCGCCCGATATTTCTTGAGGGAAAGAAGCAACAGCATTACAGCGAAACTGGCTATATGTCTTCTTCTGCTAACAAGTAACAGCATACACTGCATGATATTTTGCCTTCTTGCCCAGTTGCATGTCGAATAGCACGGAGAAAAAGTAGTCTTTTTTGATCGTCCGCCATGTTTGTTTTGATTTGAATTGTTTCAGTTTACCGTAATTCCGCTGACTGATTTTACCGCTTACTCATGCTCAGAGCATTTGGCTCAACACATTAGGTGCGTATGAATCAACGTCGATCCTATTGTAATTGTGTCGACTCAAATAGGATATTAGGCTCGGCACATGAAAGCGCGACGTATGAATCGGGCCTAAGAGGGCATGGTTTGAAACGATACAAAAGTATAAGAATTAAACTTTAGTGATCGGTCAAAATTAAATCAAAATTGATGTTGACTAATTAAACCAAAAAGTTTTTTAGTTAATAATGGATAGCGGGAACCATTTGGGACTGCGTTGGTGTGTTGAAAACACCGAATCGATATATGAYGACTCATTTGAATAACTATTGTTCTGCACTGACTAGCGCCTAACTAGCATCATGTTCACGGTARGAAACATAAAATCGTTTTTCACATGTATGAGAGGATAGTCAGTCGCTAGTCAGGGTACAGAACAATATGGATCGCCATATTTCGATTCTGTGTATATAGAGTGGTTTTATTTAACTCTTGAAATAAAAATGACTATTTAGCTAGTACTAGCTGATAAAATACAAAAGAAAACCATGGATTTAGAGTTTACTACTAAATATTATGCAGTGCGTACTATTTTAGTCCTTCGTCGGAGTGAAAGATGCGTTTCGTCATTCTGCCATAGGGAATGATTATGAATGGTTTCTTGAAGATATTTATAATAAATCGAATAATAACTATCGATAACTATCGTTTTGGTAAAACAACTGATATCCCGCTAGCCAAAATGTGGATATCATAGAGGGGGTTAAATAAAATACCTGTTTTCCAATCCTATGTTTTAAGACAAACGACAGTAATTAGAATAAGTATACGATTGAAACCGTATGGCGTTTTCGCATCAAAACTAACTTTAACTGGACTAGATGCATAGTTTAGATTAAACTCACATATAATTGGAATTTGATATGTCTTTTTTTAATACAGCGATACCATTACCATTAAGATGCAGCTATTTTTCGACAGATTTTTTAAAACTAAAAAACTGCATTATAAATCCTATCATTTTTGATGCGTGTCAAGAGTTCCATTTGACTGATATATGTGTGTCGTAAAAACTATAAAATTCTTGTCAACGGAAGTATGCAAATTTGTGTAAAACCATGCAAAAAAAATTGATTTAATTAATGTTCCTTGTTTATCAAAGATAAAAATGACACCTTTCGAATTGTCCTACTAGGTGAACGAAACATCTCGTAAGCCAAAATCACTGAGCCAAGTCATAAGACTATGAAATATGGCTAAGGAGAAAGAAAGGAAGACGAAGGCGGCCATTTTAAATTTCTGGTAGTTTTGGCTGCTTTCTTCAATGAATATTTAAAACACATCTTCAAAAAAGTTCCCGTAGTTTTTGTTTTCATAACATTTGGTAGACCAAAAATAGCCGAATTTTTACGGCGTAACAAGGATTGAATATGAGGACTTTTGAGTGTTCCAGGAAAGCCGTTTGGAAACGATAAAAACCGGAATAGATAACTTTTTATAATACGTTTTCCTTCTTTTTGCACTGATTTCAAACTTCGGTATCTCCTTTTTTCTTCTYTTTTTTCACTCTCATTTTTGGGTTCCGATTAATTAAAATCGAGAATATTACTTTTTTGAATGAAATTATTGGATTAATATAAGTATTGCACTTACCCTTTTGTTATATATATTGAAAGCATTAGCAGTAAAGCAGCTCTTCCTCCAAGTTTATTAAACGTCGACTCAGTCATCTTTGCAACTCTTCAATTAAAAAACATGTTCAACTCAAATGCGTTGCAGTTCCATCTTCTATCTTAAAGTTCTTGATTTATGAGGATTTCATTCTGCAGTTGAATTAGCCCTGTAAAAAATAAAAGGCTGAATAAACTTCCAGGATTTCTACCTAGCGTCCTATCTTATTTGCACTATGAAGGACGTCATTATGAAGTAGAGTATTAAAATAATTAAAGCATAAACTGTTTTTCATGAATTGAAGCGGTTAACCACTTAGAGAATGCCTATTTGGTTAAACTAACGAAGGGAAAAAAAATTTAGAGAGCTCAGTTCCTTGTATTTATATATATAAAATACAAATTTTACAGCGAAAATCCGAAACTTACGGTAATCACTCCAAGATGTGGTTAACATTCATTTTAGTTCTCCAACATTTTGGACTGTAAATTTTGAACCCGAAGATCGTTTTCCTCGTTGCAAAAAGCCACAGAAATGGTAAATTCATTAGCCGGCAAAGAAAACGTCCCAGGATTCCTCATGAATAATTGAGCATTTGTAATACAGGAGCTGAAGCATGGTTGGCTTCTTAAATGATAATTATTTCGCCTCAACAGGTTACTTAATATCTTTAAATCCTCTGTCTAATGCTTGTGGTTTTGACAATTTGTAAAATGAATTGGACAATGTTTCTTTTTAATACAGGCCGTCAGATATCAATCACTAGTCATGATCAACGCTCTGGCGGGAAAAAAACGGATTTAATAAGTCAATGCTCTGGTGTTTCAAGCTTTAATCGGATTACTGAAACCTCATCTTAAGCAAAAATGATTTTGAAAGAGATTTAGGATAGCGTTTAAGAAACTGAGTGTGTTGAGCTAACTATAAAAGTTAATTCTTGGGGTGCAACTACATGTGATTCAAAATTGTCAACCAAAATGGYGGCTATGCCGTGACATGCATGCGCCAGAAACTTGAGTCAGCTGATTAACAAATTTACCTTCTCCATATGCTGCAGAAAAACTAAGAAATAGAGGCGTCGAAAGGAAAGAAAATTTATGAATATTTGACGTAATTTTGCATGTCAATATATGACAAAGAGAGGTGAAACAAATGCCTGCGGGTTGGATTTAAAAATTAAACTGACTAAGAAGATTACATATTGAAAAAAGAAAAAAGAAAAAAAGAAAGAAAAAAAGAAGGTTGAGACAGACTGAGGAAAGTCTAAAGAAAGAGAGTAAAAATCACCTAACATACTAATAAATAGAGAAAATTACATGGCTGCGCGGAGATACGGATTTGATCTTAGAGTGTTAGGTGATATCTCACGAGCAAGCAGAGAGATATTCAACACGAGAAGTTAAAATCCGTATCTCCAAGCAACCATCTAGTGTTTTGGACACATGAGAATTCTTACGAATGCTGTTATTCTTACCTAGGTTATTTATTAAAAACAGATCATTAATTGCTTTCACGACGCGGCTGAAACTATCGAATGATGCGTTCAAAGCATGTGTGGTGATTACAGTACACAGTGTGTATTATTTTTGCGCTGTTTTTGTACTTAAAACCGATTTAGAAGTCACTTCTGTATACTTAAAAACGATATCCGGTTCTTGTATTTCGAGTTCTGTCTGAATTAATATAGAAAGAATCTGTTCCCTGAAACGCGCTGTCTGAAGTCCGATACAACCTGCTGCTAGACTTTGCACATCTACATTAATTGAGTGAAAAAATAAAAGACTAATAGGCCCCACCCACACTATGCCGGATAAATTTGAATCCGCAACTTTCATTCCAAACATGAAAACGGATAAAATGTTTCGCGTCCACACTAGTCCGATCAGAGGCGGCAAAAACGCTTCATTGCTCAGCATGTGCATCGAAGCTGATATTGAGCCAGCGGTGAATTTTAAGCYTTCCCGCCATGTTCCCATGACAATCATGACTTCATCGTATTCGAAAAATTTCGGGTGCGAAATGTTCTCCGTCCACACTAATGCGGTTAGCCGGCGTTTTCAAATTGTTCCACTCCGGACCGTATTCGAAAAAATTCGTTTTCGGTGAAGAATTGTTCCGGATTCGTCCGGACTAGTGTGGACGGTAGGCTAACCGAATRAATAAAAATTCGGATTCAAATTAATCCGGCATAGTGTGGACGGGGCCTAACTGAGCTAGTTTTATCTGCTTAACATCACATCAGTTGGAACCTTATGTTTGATACCGGGTTTGCATTGCAAATTTATTACGGAATGAGTGCCATTAAAAAATGACATTAAACACTTCAGACACTTTTAGTTTAGGTTTCACTTTTAAATTGAAGATGTACTTTCGTATTTGACTTTATCAGAGTTAATATTAACTCTGACTTTATTTACTTTATGTTCAAACTCTTCGACTATAAACAGTCTTCATCACAGTGGGTACGTGGTGTTACTATATATTTCAAAAGATAGTGTGTCGGTGCTTGCTCGTGCCAAAGTTTAGTTTTACCACGTGGTAAACGCGATAAAGTGCGGATACTTCTCTTTAAATATTTCTAAATATTTTGTCATATGTGCCTCGATAAAGATCATTTGGAACTGAACACGACAGATTTGCTAGAAGTTCATTTAATATTAATATCAAGAATTGASACGGCCTAAATAAAGAGCAATTTTCAATACGAAATTTTGGCAAAACTTCATGCTCTGAGAACTCCAGTTTTTCCATGTCTGACCTAACTTATTCTGCATTAGATTTTTCTTAGTTTTAAACTACACATAATCTTAATTTGAAATTAGAGTCTAAATCCTGTTGTCCATGAAGACTAAATATAATAAATAAAGAGCAATTTTCAANTTAGTTTTAAACTACACATAATCTTAATTTGAAATTAGAGTCTAAATCCTGTTGTCCATGAAGACTAAATATAATAAATAAAGAGCAATTTTCAATACGAAATTTTGGCAAAACTTCATGCTCTGAGAACTTCAGTTTTTCCATGTCTGACCAATACAACTTATTCTGCATTAGATTTTTCTTAGTTTTAAACTACGCATAATCATCTTAATTTGAAATTAGATTCTAAATTCTGTTGGCAATGAAGTCTAAATATAATGAATAAAGAGCAATTTTCAATAGGAAATTTTGGCAAAACTTCATGCTCTGGGAACTTCAGTTTTTCCATGTCTGACCAATACAACTTATTCTGCATTAGATTTTTCTTTTAGTTTTAAACTACACATAATCTTAATTTGAAATTAGAGTCTAAATCCTGNTCCATGTCTGACCAATACAACTTATTCTGCATTAGATTTTTCTTTTAGTTTTAAACTACACATAATCTTAATTTGAAATTAGAGTCTAAATCCTGCTGTCAATGAAGACTAAATATAATAATTGTTCAAATAATAAATACTTAATTCTCGTATGACTTTTTGCAGGAAAGAGATTCGGTAACTTGAGTTGTTGAATTGGGTGTTTTTATTGCTATTTTCGGCAAGAGGATTGCAATTTTGCAGAGTAAAAATAAGCATTAACATCTGAAGTCAAAGGAAATTACAAAAATTAGTCACACAATACTTCATTTTATTAAATTTCGGAGCATTAAATTTGACAGCCCAAAATCAATTGTTTTGACAAGCAATTTTCAGCCATATATTGCCCACCAACACCTTTTAGCCGGATAGCAAATATACAAAACAGAAATGTGTATTAAAGAAAATTACGACTTTTATCAGCTGTGAGTGCTCGAAGAGAACCTTTGACATTTAGGATAAATGTCTTTATAAACCACTTTTTGTTTTGGAAATTATCTTCATTTTTCACTGTTCGCGGTAGTCTGTAGTCTTTCAGCAGTTAATTTCGTGCAAGTTTACCGTTCTTTCGAGCGTTCCTCGCTAACCTGAGTATCAGGCCTAAGGGGCCAGGTTTCCCCTTAGGTCTCACATACTCAGGTTAATAGTGAGGAACGCACGAAAGAAGTAGTAAGAAGTAGTATTAGTAATAGTTCCTCGCGAGCATTTCACGCCATATTTTTAATTTTCTCATACAAAACAGGGCCATAGCCACCGTCACAGTTGGTCGGGGAAAAAATATCAGAAAAAATATATATAAGTAAAACCAAAACCCCTCAAAAACCGGACCAATCAGGAATTTGTGGCTACGGCCCTGCAATGAATCAATATGAAACGTTTATTTTGTGACTTTTAGAGATTAATTTAGACAGAGAGAAGCCTTAGTAGAACTGAGAAGAAGTACTAGTTTGTAGCATATAAGAAGACTTGGCAAAATTAATCTTTAAAGGGGATCGATTACAATCCCAGTTGGAGTTTGTCCAAACCTTAACCAAAAAGCAAGATTAAAATCTAAAATAAAAGTCATAGATACCTTCTGAGAGCTAAACCAACGAAAGATTTCCGAAAGCAAGAACGTTAGCAATGAAATGTTTTGATTTTCCCTCCACAGTTAATGAACTGGCAAAATAAGCTCGTAGTTTCTGACGATAATATAAGTTATAAACTATTTATACGAACGAGTTTCGAAGGCATTATCGACGGATGAGCGAAGAGTCTCGAAGATAATCTATTTGATATTGGAAAAAATTCTTTTGAAAAATTGAAAAACATCAAATTTCAAATTATTAAATTTCACTGAGTAATAGATTTTATAATGAGCAAGATATATTATTCTGAAATATTTGAGATTTACTTACGTGTAAGTGTTTGTCGTCCGTTGCTCTACACAGCACCCAGGGTAACACACTAATAATCAGTAATTTAAAGCGTAGAAAGGAATTAACATAAGATGTATTGAAAAGCAATAAGAGAATTAGGACTGATTAGTTTTAGAGGCTCTAATTTCTATTTTTTACGTACAAAAGTTAAAGTTTTGTGACTGCAATCAATGACCATACTATAGCGATAAAAGAAGCGAATCATCTTAATATCTACAACTAAGGATGACGGTGTCAATGATTATGAAGAAGCTGGGATGATTAAGTTGTGGGGTTTCTAGAGGATATGTTTAGCCTTTAGAAGTTTCCTATAGATTTCGGTTTTTTTTCATTTACGACCTGCGGTGCAATCGAGAATATTTATAACAAAAGGAAAAAACATTATACTGAACGAATATGAATATGCAAAATCAAGGCTATGGGATATTCAGTGTGGCTGGTAGTCGGAAAAGTCGAAGAGCAAATGATGACAAAAGTCTAATTGACTATAGTAAAACTGGAATAAGCTCAATGAAAGTAAAAATAAATATTATTAAAAAGTGAAGAAGGGTTCACCTTGGAAATATGTAGGTTGAATGATATAAACAATTTGCTGTAACTAAGGGCTAAGACAATAAAATTTTTTAAACAATCCTTAAAATAGAAATCGTTTGTCAAGGTGATATGAACCAAGATGGCGGCGGCGATGACTCATGATTTGACATATAGGCGCGCAATGCATTGTTCAATGTATTGTTTGTCACAGCGAACATTTCAAATT